GCCCCAGTCCCGAGATGAGCCAACACCAGACGAGGCCCAGGACAGCCACGAGCTGTTGGCCAAAGCGAAAGACGGAGCTTCGCGAGCAACGCCTTCCTCCACGACCAATTCACCGGTATGTGCCGACAAGGTGGCGACGACTCCACGCATCGCCAAGCCGTTGCACCACCTTGTGTACCGACCCGATATTGATGGCCTCCGCACGCTCGCCGTCGTCCCGGTCGTGCTCTTCCACGCATACCCAGACATGTTTCCAAGCGGGTTCATCGGCGTCGACATCTTCTTTGTCATCTCGGGCTACTTGATCTCGGGCATCCTCCTCAAGGAATGCAAGGCCGGGCCGTTCACGTACTACGCATTCTACAGCCGCCGCCTGCGCCGGATTTTCCCGATCCTGCTCCTCGTCATGGCGACGACGCTGTGGATGGGATGCCTCTACCTTCTCGCGACCAGCCTCAAGGCGCTCGCGGCCACGATGCTGGCCGGGTCCCTCTTCTGTGCCAACCTTCAGGTGCTGTCGCTCGAGAAAGGGTACTTTGACGACGACATCAAGTCGAATCCGTTGCTGCATCTGTGGTCGCTCGGGGTCGAAGAGCAGTTTTACATCTTTTGGCCGTTCCTGGCGTCCGTCGTGGCGCGACTGCCGTATCGACGCGCGTTGGGTCTGCAAGGGCTTGTGCTGGCCGTCAGCTTCGTCGCCAACATTGCGTTCCTGGGCTACCGCGGGTCCAACAAATACGCCTTCTACTTTCCCTTGTGTCGGTTCTGGCAAATGTCCATCGGGGGCGTCCTCGCCTTTCTGCACTTCCACGACGTGTCGTCAGCGTCGCGGCCGCCATCGAACGCCATGTCAGTCGCTGGCTTGGCCATGATCATCGCGGGATTCTCCCTCATTGACGAGACCAGCGTGTTTCCAGGGTTCTGGGCGATCTTGCCGTCCTGCGGCGCGGCACTCTTGATTGGAGGGGGCGCCGCGGCCGCCTTCAATGCGTCCGTGCTGAGTGCCGGACCCGTTGTGTACGTGGGGAAGATCAGCTACGCATTGTACCTGTGGCACTGGCCGCTGCTCGTTTTTGCCAACGTGCGGTTCCCAAACGCGGCGTTCCGACCGTTCTACATGCAGCCGTACATGATGGTGGCCGTGGCCGTGGCGTGCAGCATCAACTTTGTCATGTTCGAAAATCGCGTTCGGCGAGTCAAGTCCAAATGGATCGTGCCAGGTCTGTTTCTTCTCACGCTGTCAATGTCGGCAGTCTCGCTCGCCGTGTACTCGAACCCAGAGTCGTTTTCCTTGACTGAACTCGACCTGCTGCGGATAGAGGGGCCCCAAGACTGGAGCCAGGGCGATGTCCTTGCGACACTGGCCCCTGCTTTAAACGTCCCAGCGAATACGAAGGGGGTCCATGCGTTGGCGTCTGCCGGAGTCAACCTGACGCTAGCGTCTGCTCGAAACAGCACAACTACATCCGACGTTCCTGTCAAAGCCGGTGCGACAATTTCCACGTCGGCAGTGATGGCTGCCGTCGCTGCAAAGGATTTGCCAAACCCAAGTCGCGAAAAGCGCGTTCAAAATACGACGTTCCTCCAAGCCATCCAGGGCGGAAAGGATATGAATGACGTGTGGAAGACCAATTTGACGGCGCTCAACAAAACGTCGCCGTATGGATATCATCCCCACGCCCAAGTGCTGAACCCCGACAAGGAATCGAATGGACTGGTCATTGTGCTCGGCGACTCGCACGGTGATATGACGAAGCCGCGCTTCCTCAAGCTGTACGAGGCGGCCGTCAATGCAAACCTACCGTTTCCCACGATGGTCTTCAAAACCGAGTTCGGTCGGGCGCCGCTGTCATGTGAGGCTGCGACGGACGTCGACTTTGCCATGGTCAAGGCGATGAAGCCCCAAGTCGTGTTTTATAACTTCCACTGGCTGCAGTACCTCCGACCCGAGGCTTCCACGGGGACACTGCCGAGCGCAAACCCCCGGTGTTGCAATAGTCTGTACGAGTTGTGCCCGTACCAGACTCAAGCCGACGCCGACGAACTCGTGCGTCGATGGAAAGAACAGGTCAAACAACTTGTGGGCCTTGGCATCCGCGTGTTTGTCGCGCAGCAATACGTGGAAAACGGGCGCTTTTACTACGCGTATTGGCTCGAGGGAAACGCGGTCAAGGCCGTGCCGCCTCCCTATGTTCGATCCCAATTTGAAGCCGAGCACCGCCATTTGCTCTCGGTGATTGCAAATGCCACGCAAGAAGCGAACGCGACGCTTATCAACTTTTCCGACAATCTGTGCTGGGAAGACCTGTGCCAGGTCGTGAATGGCCATGGCGAGCCAGTCCTGGCGGACGACAACCACATACGGGCTTACACTGCGCGCAACTACCTCAGCGTTGTCGACCAAGTCGTGGAAGCAGCGCTGCTGCACCACTGACGTACTCGTGTGCAGAGCTGTGTGGACCGAATGCCGTGTACCATCGGTGTTGTAAAGTGGCCAATGAAGCATCCAACCTCTGAAAATCGTAGCAACAAGTAGATCAACAGGACTAATGGTGGAAAAGACTGGGAATACTTGTCGGCAGGTCAACGGAAGTCGCACACGTTTGCGCCTCTTGAATCCAGAAGTTCCGACGGCGTATGCTCGTAAATGCGTGGTTCGAATCATTTCGTTGAAGGCGGTGTGAATCTCTCTGTCTGCATCCATCCCAGCACATTGTTTCCAATGACCACGTTCCAACCGTCGCCAGCAACATGATCGCTACATGCGTTCGCGTCTTTGCCACGGGGATCGTGTCACTCTGCCGCACCAGACGCCATTGCGTGCACTGGCCATGTGCCAGCAAACATACTCACGCCATGGGATGAGCGGAGTATCGAGGAGCCATGCATGTTGACGGCAACAAAGGGGCGCTGAATACCTTTCTTGAATTGATTGGCATGAATGTATGTTTTCTGACCCAGGCTATATCGATCGAATGATCGAATCGCCATTTGAAAAAAAAAAGTCGATCGAAGGGGATGACCCGCATGGTGCTTGGTCTGTCGTACTTGGTCGTGGCATGTGCTGTCGCGGCCTTCACGCACTGGTGGCGTTCGTGGATGCCTTCCGTTTCGCCGCCTCCCACGTCGGGCAATGTCTTTTCCGGCCAAGCTGCGTACGATGTCCTCCGCACCATCGCGACTACCCAGCACCCATTGAAATCGCAAGCCGATCTAGACGTGTACCATTACCTGTACGACCAGCTCGAAGACATCAACCGCACAGGTGGTTTAGCCAACACTACGTCCTTGTCGAACCAGCTCATCTTTGAGACACCACGCAGTGCGGTGCGCACCATCCAGGCGAATGCAACCCCGACTGCATCTCGCCGATGCAGCGACTACGAAGATATCGTCAACACCACACAGATCGTTGTTCGAGTGCCGGGCGCGCTGCCGTCGAGTGTTCTACTCACGGCTCATTTTGATTCTGCCCCGTTGTCGTTTGGCGCGTCCGACGATGGCGCAGGCGTGGCTGTGATCCTGGAAACTCTCCGGGCGCTCGTTGCGTCTCCGGCTCAGCTTGACCATTCCCTCGTCGTGTTTCTTGACAATGGCGAAGAAGCCGGGTTGTGTGGCTCCAAGTGGTTTGTGCAATCGGGTCTTGCCGACATGTTCAAGGTCAAAGTGTTCGTCAATGTCGAAGGCGGCGGCGCAGGCGGCCGTGCGATCCTCTTTCGATCGACCGACGATCAGTTGGCGGCGCTATACAGCCAAGTCGCCCCGTACCCGCACATGAACAGCTTGGGAGGTACTTTGATCGGGCTGCTTCACAGCGACACCGACTACTCTACGTACGAACGCGCCGCGATCCCTGGGATCGACATTGCGTTTTACGAGCATCGGGAGCTCTACCACACGCTGGAGGACAGCACCGCTCACATTTCAGCCTCAGACATCCAACACTGCGGCGAGAACGTTCTGGCCATCACTCGGGCGCTGTTGGACACGAACTCGCTCGACGACTGGGTGTCGGATGGCCATGCATTGTACTTTGATCTGATGGGCCGGTGGGGTTTCCCGCTGCCAGTCGCGACAAGGTGGCTCGTCCTTGCGATTGTGTGGCTCGCAGCGTTTGGTGTCGTCGCGGTGCATTTCCACGCATTTCCCCTCACCTCCCAGTCGACAATGGGCGCGTTTTTCCGATGCCTTGTGAGCGACTGGCTGTATTTTGCGACTGCACTGGGTGTGGGCTGTGTCTTTGCGCTGTTGGCGAACTTCCCGCTCGTCGGGTTCATTCTCGTGACGTCTAGCCCGTTGTTATCGTGGACGGTATTGCCAAATGCAGTCGTGGGACTTGTGTTTGGCAACGTGGTCGCGACAGTGCTTTGGAGACGACGCCAGGGGATAGTTCAACCTGTTCTTCCTCCGACTATGGACTGGATGCACTTGGCCACTGCTGGGTCGACGTTTGGAGCGTTCTTGTGCACATTCTTTCCTCTGAACGTGCCTCTGTTGTACTTGTTTCCGATCACGACACTAGCGTACTCGATTGTCCTGCTTCTGGCCATGGCTGCGGCTCTGGCTGCCCAAGTTATCCGACGCCGACAAAGCTATGGGTTGCTGTGGAAAGCTGGAACTTCGTACACGTCGATTCCACATGGTCGAGCGTCCGACACCGCACCACCAGCCATTCCTCTGTCGGTTTTCGTGTCACTCGTCGCCACGTTTGTGGGATTTCTCGCGGTGTCGCTGCCAGTGGCCGTCGACAATTTGTGGATGATGCAGTCGGTGGGTGGAAACGACCCCTTCATCATGTCTGCCGTTCCGCTGGTCTTGGCGCCATCGCTGTTCATGGTGTTGCCATGGCTTGCCGCATGCGACGCGAAAGATGGCCTTGTGCTGGTTCTGCTTTACTTGATTGTGTGGGCGATCGCGACCGTCCAGTACGCGGCGTCCACCTAACCCACGAAATTAGATCAAGTGCCATTCACATTCCGTCGGTTGAATGCGACCACCCATCCAATCCGCAACCATTCACAGTCGGGAAATGGATGGTGGTTTGCAATTTTGGTTTCGCCCGCGTGTTTCAAGTGTGCTGTCTTCGTGTGCCAGGTACGGCTACGAAGTAGGATGTACATTTGCATCGTTGGTTCGGGAACCTTCCGTCGACGAACGTGTGGCTATCCAGGGATCGGCATTGCATGGATGAAACATCGAAAGGCCATTGACCCTGCTCGATACCCAAAACAGAGTATCGAGCACGTTCAACTGCAAGAAATTCAAGTTGCACTGGCCACCTTGACCACATAGCTCCACTCGGCAACTTGTGGAGGTGCACACCCAAGACGAGGAGCGGTTGCACTGCGTCGTTGGCGGGTGCATTGCAGGATATGGTTTCGGCACGTGCGAGTCGCCGGATCGACTTGACCGAGAGTCACGTAGTCGTCCATTCATTCTGTACATCGTTGGCATTGCCCATGGAAATAGTTGGCAAGGTTTCCATGATCCGATAGACATTCACGACAACGTGGCTACTCTAACATCGAGTGCCCCATCTAGCCAGAGGTAGCTCACGGCGATACGTCTGCACTGCCTGCTCGAGGCAGGAGGGGTTGCATTTGGTGGTCTTCCTCGTCGTCGGGGACGTTGACTTGGGTAGGCAAGACACAGAGGAAGGCCAAGATCGCGAGTTTGCATACGGCACCAATCACGACCAGCCACGACAGGTTGGACCAGTTTACGACAAATGTGGTCGGGTCTTCCGTGATGCCCAGCGCGTTGATGACGATTGCAGAGACGAAAGAACTCACGACGCCGCCAAAGTCCATAAAGGACAAGTACAGCGCATATGTGAGGCCGTTGCCACCCGTCGCTGTGGTCGGGCAAAAGTACGTGGCCACAATGAGCAACTGGAGTAGCGCGAACTCGCCCGCGAACGACGTCACGAACGATTCGATGGTGCAAAACGTGCACACTGACATGGGGAGTCGGGCCATCGGCGGCGCCAAGAGCACTTGCGGCAAACTCGCGACCGTTGACACGACGGTCGAAATCGCAAACACCGTGCGAATGCTGTAGCCATGGCACGTTTTGGCGTACATGAGGCACGCCAGCACCCGACCGATCATGCCTGAGTAAAAGCAGTTGACTGGTTTTTGTATATCAAGACGGCGTCGTACCAGCTAGCGACGCGTACTGCAGGCACTCCTTTTGGTCGTTCAGCAGCGAATACGTGTACTGGTACCAGACAGAGCCACCGGACGGCAGCGCGCTCGAGAGGAAGAAGAATATCATGACGGGCACATACGCTCGCTGCTCCGACATGATTCGTTTGCATGCTGCGACGAAGCCTCGCCATTTTCGGTGGACGAGGTAGGTACACGTTTGGGGGTTGGTCGGGTGGGCGCTACTTCTGGGCAACAAACTCACCCTGGGTTCGTGCAACAAGTACAGAGAGATGAGAATACCCATGACAGGAATCACGCTGGACCAGCAAATGATCTCGCGGGACGAAATCGACTTGTTTGCGTAAATGGGGATGCCAACGACGAGCGCCACGATGGACGCCGTGTTCTTGGCAGCGTTCGCCCATGCTTGGACGTTCCCGCTCTTCTCGTGGTTTCCAGACGCAACGTCGACGAGAACGACGCCGAGCATCATTTGGGTGAAGGCTTCGCAGGACGAGTCGATCATTTTCACAACAAACGCACCTGCCACGGACCGAACGAAGAGACCGGTGGCCAGGACGGACAGAGCAGCTCCGATTTCACACAGCACAATGTAGTACTTGCGCCGGTACCCAAAGATGGGGAAGTTGTCCGATACGAGGGCATACACAGGCTTGAGGTTCCAAGGAAAGAATGTGAGGGCGTAGTACACGTTGGTCGTTGCCGGGGACATGTGAATCTCATTGAACAGCCAGTCGCCGTAGGCCGTGATGGGGAAGCTCTGGAGGAAGGATTGGACGAAGTAGAGCAATAGCAGTCCCCACGGAAGTAGCGACCCTGACGCAAAATTGGCCAGGAACGCCATCGTCGCCGCACTCGACAGACACTGATGTCGCTTCAATCGAGTACCGCTGGCACGTGACTGAGATCGCCCTGATTGGTCAAGAATCTATTTATTCGACCGAAATCAAAAATAAAACATTAATGTTCACCAAATTATGCGATTGGTTTAATAAAAAGTTGAAATTGACTCCACAATATTCATCAAATGCATGAATTGGTCATAGAGGTCAAAT